AGGAAAAGGTTGAGCAATATTCGGGAAATTCCTGCTAATGGCTTGTGGGATAAAAGCAGCTTTAGGCCACATTGTGAATTTCAAAGGTACGGATCAGACACCCTCAACTGTTCCATACCCATTCATAGTAGACGGTCGAAGAAGCGTTGACGTCGCGCTTCTTTTGCGGCTTGAAAGTACGCAACAAAGCTCGTTCGACCCGCAATCCACACCTTCGTCCGCAAGCCCCGCCTTCCGCTGTCGGTTGCCACGTGGCGCTGCTTGAAAAGCGCGGGCGCAGTTGCGGCAGCGGTTGCATTGCGAGTCAATGTCATTGGCACTGAAGCAACTGGATCTAGGTTCGTAAAACTCCTCCAACACGCCCCATCAATTCCAAGGTTAGATGCTGCCGAAATTGAGGAGGCTCTTCAAGGCGTGCAAGGTTTTTTCGCATTCATTTTCTTTTCCAGACCAACCACCATCTCCGCGCTCATTACTGAACGCTCTTACACAACAATTTTGTTCTGGGCTTGCTTCTAAAAATTTTTGTTGAGTGAAATTTATGAACTTGGCGAATCCTGCCACAGGGTGAGATTAGCACTAGAGCGAAAAGGACTCTGTTTAATAGTTACTCCGAAATGTAACGCCGTATCACCTTAACCAACTTCAGCTCATAGCCCAACTCGAAAGCACGGAAAGTGTTTCCACATATCGTTGAACCTTTTGCGGCCAGAGATTTCCTCCATCCTCCGTTCTTTGTGCTGCGAAAGGCAGCTGGATAAAAGAATGCGATGTGGTTTCATTACAAATATAATCCGCTCCGTGCCCGCGGCAGAGCTTCCAAGCCTCACAATGCTACCGTATTCAGCAGCTGTCTGCCTGGTTTGGTGAAATTGAACATTATTCATAAATTTTTATGTAGGGTTGTTAGGGGCGATAGCTGAAATGAACTGTGAATACAAGCGGTAATGCAGTAATATAAGGGAAATCCCTTCTCTTAATCTAATTGTTAGGACAATCTGACTGTATGACTCTCTACGAAAGCTCTCTAATGGTTGCGTAAATCAGTCGACATTTGCATTTTTACCAAACCTCTGAGAATGGAAAAATTACCACTTCCATCTCGAGAGGGCCTTACAGAGTGCCCAGATTCGCTTGAAAAAGCCTAGCTACAAGTCCTTTTTCGTGTTACGCCATGCATTTGGTCTTCACTCAAGATCACGTATGCGTTTGAAAGCGATATGGTCTATATAGTTATCTGCGACTACC